GCTGCTTCTCTGATAGTTTTAGCAGAAATACCAAGGTGCCTCTCATACGTCCATCTCTGAATGATCACTGGTGCAGCCAGGGCATGGGATCACCAAGTTATGTGTGCATTCTTGCCATCAAAGGATAGGGCTGACACCACCTAAGTTGTCTCAGGGTGGGGAAGAGGCAGTTCCCTAAAGGAAAATTAGGGTACTGTTAAAAGAAGGGGAAAAGTTGCTGGAGAAGTAAAAGTAAGTGATGCCCATGATACATTGCATGTAAACAGATATGGGGTGGGGGTGCTGGGGAGAGAGGCAGATGGAGCGAGAGAAAGATGATCTAGGTTCATGTTGGGTAGTCTGAATTTTAATAGTGAATGTATTTTAAAAACCCAGATTTTATGCTTTGTTTGTTATCAATGAAGTCTTTGGGAGAATTCTAAATGGCTTTTGGTTTTATTAATTTTTAATTTGTTTTATTTCAAGAACTTTAAAAGAAAAGCAACTGAAAATTCTTAAAAAAAAAAAAACATTTCAAGGGTAGCCAATTTTTTTTTTTTTTTGAGACGAGTCTCACTCTGTTATCTAGGTTGGAGTGCAGTGGTATGATCTTGGTTCACTGCAGCTTCTGCCTCCAAGGTTCAAGTGATTCTCCTGCCTCAGCCTCCCGAGTAGCTGGGATTACAGGCGTGCACCATCATGCCCAACTTATTTTTTATTTTTAGTAGAGATGCGGTTTCACCATGTTGGTCAGGCTGATCTCGAACCTCAGACCTCAAGTGATCCTTCCGTCTCAACCTCCCAAAGTGCTGGGTTTGCAGGCGTGAGCCACTGTGTTTGGCCATCGAGGGTAGCCAAATGTCTGTTGCCCTTGACATGGCTTATTGTGATGTGTTTATTGCCTAAAGCTATTCAGAGTTTTAGAAACAACAATCACCTTAGCAAGGTGATTTATTTAGTCATTTGTAATTGTATTTTGGAAAAACAAAATTTCAGACCTTTATAGTTAATCTTATGCTTAAATGTTTATTGATAGTGTAATTTTAAAATTTTTATTTTTATTTAAAACAAGGCCAGGCATGGTGGCACACATCTGTAATCTCAGCACTTTGGGAGGCCAAGGTGGGCAGATCATCTGAGGTCAGGAGTTCCAGACCAGCCTGGCCAACATGGTGAAACCCTGTCTCTACCAAAAATACAAACATTAGCCAGCCATGGTAGTGCTTGCCTGTAGTCCCAGCTAATCAGGAGGCTGAGGCAGGACAGTTGTTTAAACCAGGGAGGCAGAGGTTGTGGTGAGCAGAGATCGAGCCATTGCACGCCAGCCTGGGGGACAGAGCAAGACTGTGTCTCAAAAGAAAAAAAAAATTAAAAAACGAGTATTGTTTTTTTTTGAGGTAGATTTTTGCTTTTGTTGCCCAGGCTGGAGTATAATGGTACGCTCTCAGGTCACCGCAACCTCCACTTCCTGTGTTCAATGATTCTCTTGCCTCCTAAAGCTAGGATTACAGGCATGTACCACCATGTCCAGCTAATTTTTGTATTTTTAGTAGAGACAGGGTTTCACCATGTTGGCCAGGCTGGTCTTGAACTCCTGACCTCAGGGCGATCTGCCTGCCTCGGCCTCCCAAAGTGCTGGGATTATAGGTATGAGCCACTGTGCCTGGGCCATAGTGTCATTTTTTTGTTAAGTTCATGATTACCATACATAGAAGGTGAAAAATATTTTTTACTATATGTAATCCACATGTGTGATAAAAATTCAAAAGCCAAAAAACTATAGTGAAAATCTTAATTCTAATCTTCCCTAAAGCCAATCACTTTGATCAATTTCTTGTATATACTACTGAAGCTATTTATATAAATACTGGTGTGTGTATGTCAACATATGGTAACATACTATACAAACTCTTCTGCTTTTTCCAATTAACAGTATATCTTGAGATTGTTCAGTTTCAGAACGGTTTAACATTGGCTAGTGGGAATGTAACAAGGTGCAGTTGCCGTGGAAAACAGTATGGCAATTCCTCAACTGGTTTTTTGTTTGTTTTCTGACATGAGATCTCATTCTTTCACCCAGGCTGCAGTGCAGTGGCACAGTGTTGGCTCACTGCAACCTCTGCCTCCAGGGCTCGAGCAATCTTCCCTTCTCAGCCTTCTGAATAGCTGGGATTACAGGTGTGTGCCACCACACTCAGCTAATTTTTAAATTTATTCTAGATATTAGGTCTCAGTATAAAATGATCCTCAGCCTCCTAAAGTGCTGGCACTATAGGCATGAACTACCTACCATACCTGGCCTTTCAGACTGTTAAAAACATAGACTTACCATAAGATCCAGCAGTTCCATTCTTCAGTACATTCTAAGAGAAATGAAACACATGTCCACATAAAAACTTGCACAAGAATGTTCACAGCAGCATTATTCATAATAGACAAAAAGTGAAATTACTCAAATGTCCACCAGCTGATGACTGGATAAAATGTGGTATAGCTATATAATGCAGTATTATTACCTGGGAATGTAAAAAAAAAGAAGTGCTGATACGTGTTACAATATGGACAGACCTTGAAAATAGACTAAATGAAAGAAGACAGTCACAAAGAATCATACATTCTGTGATTCCATTTATATGAAATATCCAGAAAAGGCAAATCCACTGAGACAAAGTAAATTAGTGGTTGTCTAGGACTGGGGGCAGTGGGGAGACTGTATTGGGGGTATGGCAGCTAAGAATGAGGGATTTTCTTGGGGAGTAATGAAAGTGTTCTGAAATTGTGATGGATGCACAACTCTGAATATAGTAAAAATCATTGAATTATACACATTTATTTATTTTAGACGGAGTCTCACTCTGTTGCCCAGGCTGGAGTGTAGTGGTATGATCTCGGTTCACTGCAACCTCTGCCTCCTGAGTTCAAACGATTCTCCTGCCTCGGCCTCCTGAGTAGCTGGAATTACAGGCATATGCCACCACGCCTGGCTAATTTTTGTATTTTTAGTAGAGATGGGGTTTTGCCATATTGGCTGGGCTGGTTTTGAACTCCTGACCTCAGGTGATCCACCCACCTTGGCCTTCCAAAGTGCTGAGGTTAACAGGTGTGAGCCACTGCACCCAGCCGTATTATACACTTTTAATGGGTGAATTGAATGACACATGAATTGTGTTTCAAGCTGTTAAACTATGTTAATGTGTTAACATTTTTGCTTTCAGTTCTTTCTACAACTTCAACAGTCTGCACTGGAGGTGTTTGCAGAGAATAATACTCTGAGTAAATTGCAGCTGGGACAACTAGCCTCTATGGAGAGCTCTGTCTTTGATGACATGATTAACCTCTTAGAGCGTTTAAAGCATGATATGTTGACCCGTCAAGTAGACCATGTGTTTAGAGATGTTAAAGATGCTGCCAAATTGTATAAAAAGGAAAGGTATGTCCTCTGCCTGCCTCGGCTCTTAACACCAGTTTGGTAAAAGCTAAAGATGGTACATGTGGTCAGATTTCCAAGGTGTCTAGAAAGAACCTGATTTGGCCTTATGTACTTTAAGCTTTATTGCTGGTAAAAATATTTCTAATATATGTTGTCTTGGACTTTTATTTTTGAGACAGTCCTATTCTGTCACCCAGGCTAGAGTGCAGTGTTGCAGTCTCAGCTTATGGTAATTTCCACCTTCCAGGTTCAAGTAATCTTCCTACCTCAGCCTCCTAAGTAGCTGGGACTGCAGGCGTTCACCATGAGGCCTGGCTAATTTTTGTATTTTTAGTAGAGACGAGGTTTCACATGTTGGGCAGGCTGATCTTGAACTCCTGACCTCATGCAGTCCACCTGCCTTGGCCTCCCAAAGTGCTGATCTTACAGGCATGAGCTACCACACTTGGCTCTCTCAGACATTGTTTTGTGTGTGTGTGTGATCTATGGAATACTAAGAACAAAGGTTCAAAGTTAGACAGTTATGTCTAACAAAGGTTCAACTTAATCATAACTGATTATAATTTAGCTGTTTGTAAATACATATCAGTAGAAGGATGGTGTGTGGTCTACGGTTGAATAGCCTAACACATCTCCCATTTTGCACAGTAAAGTGTACCTGTAGTACTTTTGTTGGACAGTTTATCCCACTACCATTCCTTGTGTACACCTGTGTTACTTCCATCTTGGAAAGCAGGCAGTATCTTTTTGTCCTACCATAGTCCCTACCACATAATGCTTATAACCTGTTATTAGTCGTGTTTTTACTGAAAATGAGAGCATAATATTAGCTGATGTTTTAATTAAAATGCTAAAGTCAGGCTGGGCTAGGTGGCTTATGGCTATAATCCTAGCACTTTGGGAGGCTGAGGTGGGTAGATCACTTGAGGCTAGGAATTCGAAACTAGCCTGGCCAACATGGTGAAACCTCATCTCTACTAAAAATACAAACATTAGCTAGGTGTGGTATGGGCATCTATAATCCCAGCTACTTGGGAGGTTGAGACAGGAGAATCACTTGAACCCCAGGGAGCAGAGGTTTCAGTGAGCCAAGATTGAGCCACTGAGCCTGGGCAACAGAGCGAGACTCTCTCAAAAAAAAAAGCTAAAATTGACATTTTAAATTTTAATTTCTTTATATCAAGAGTTCACATTAAAATTTGGGGATATTTTGGAAATATCCTTATATTAAAGAGTAATTGAGAGAGAATATAAATACAGGTACTTTATTTTCTGATAGTTTTTTTTTTTTTTTTTTTTTTTTTTTTTTGAGACAGAGTTTCGCCCTTGTTACCCAGGCTGGAGTGCAATGGCGCGATCTCGGCTCACCGCAACCTCCGCCTCCTGGGCTCAGGTAATTCTCTTGCCTCAGCCTCCTGAGTAGCTGGGATTACAGGCACGTGCCACCATGCCCAGCTAATTTTTTGCACTTTTAGTAGAGACGGGGTTTCACCATGTTGACCAGGATGGTCTCGATCTCTCGACCTCGTGATCCACCCGCCTCGGCCTCCCAAAGTGCTGGGATTACAGGCTTGAGCCACCGTGCCCGGCCTCTGATAGAAGTTTTAATGTTGGGCTGTGTATTTTTCTTATCCAAAATGCCCTAGCACAGAACACTTCCTCAAATTTAAAATGATTTAAAAACTTTAAAAATATGAACTGATGAAAATTCTGTGGTGAAAATGAATGTGTTTTCCAGGTGGTTGTCCTTGCCGTCTCAGTCAGAGCAGGCAGTCATGTCCCTGTCCAGTTCAGCCTGCCCGTTACTGCTGACGCTAAGAGACCATTTACTGCAGCTGGAGCAGCAGCTCTGTTTCTCCTTATTTAAAATGTTTTGGCAAATGCTTGTCGAGAAGCTGGATGTATACATCTACCAAGAAGTAAGTAAGAATAGACTATTTTTGGACTGTGATAATCAAGACAACTGTTACATGAGTAATTCTTTGTTTCAGATAATTCTTGCTAATCACTTCAATGAAGGAGGAGCAGCTCAGCTGCAGTTTGATATGACTCGGAATCTTTTCCCTTTGTTTTCTCACTATTGCAAGAGACCTGAAAATTATTTTAAACAGTAAGTTCAACATTTAACAATTAATATTCATGTATCAAATTGTTATAGGAGGCTAACTCCTTTTAACTTTAGGGTTCTGGAGATGTTGGGGTGGGATAAGATCAGTGTAAGTTTTAAAACATTGTCTATTCTATGGTTACAGCACAATGGGGAAATCAAAATGATACATGTGGCCCATGACCTCAAAAAGTTGACCAGAACTACATATAAGTTATATGTTGGGTTTTGTTTTCTAGCTTTTGGTTTAATGCTTCTATTTGCTTAGCTACTGGAGGAATAAATAGAAAATAAAAGAAAGTGCAGTTGTGCCCTGTTCACAAAATAAATTACAAATATGTTTAATACCTAATAATAGGCTAGGACTGAAAGAAATGTGTTTCCTGAAACACTTGACATTAATTTTGGTTCTAAACATAATGATAAATACAAGAATTACAAATGTTTTCAGAATTAGTTGAAGTTTAAATTATAGGCCAAGCATAGTAGCCCACGCCTCTAATCTCAGTACTTCTGGGAGGCAGAAGTGGCTGGATTGCTTGAGGCCAGGTGTTTGAGAGCAGTCTGGGCAACAAAGCAAGACTCTATCTCTAAAAAATTTAAAAAAAAAAAAAAAAGCCAGGTGTGGTGATGTGCACTTGTAGTCCTAGCTACTTGGGAAGCTGAGGCCGCAGCAAGCTATGATCATGCAATTGCACTCCAGCCTAAGTGACAGAGCAAGACCATGTCTCAAAAAAAAGTGAAATTTAAATTGTTTGGTTTCTATCAGGTTATAAGCATTCATTTTAAACTTATGACAGCTTATGTTTACATGTTTCAGTATAATATGAATTTTGTTTTTTTCTGTCACCAGGCTGGAGTGCAGTATTACAATCTCAGCTCACTGCAACCTCTGCCTTCGCAGTATCTGGCACTACAGGTACACGCCACCATGCCCAGCTATTTTTTGTATTTTTAGTAGAGACAGGGTTTCACCCTGTTGGTCAGGCTAGTCTCAAACTCCTGACCTCAGGTGATCCGCCTGCCTCGGCCTCCCAAAGTGCTGGGATTACAGGTGTGAACCACTGCACCCGGGCAACTATTTGTTTTTAAAATTTATTTTCATGTTTTTTCTGCTTTTATTTTATCCCTTATTTTTGTCTTTTCCCATATTCTAATCTACTTAAAGTTATACCTATATTTAATAGATTGTTCATATGCAGTATTGTATTTAGGGACATGGATACATACTGAAATAGGGATCCTGTTACCTTATAGTAAAGAAACAAACTCTGCACCTGTGTAGTCTTAACATGTTAACTTACCACGTTAAAAGAACCAATAAATCCCTATTTTTATAGTGAATATGTGGACCAGCAGTGCAGAGAAGCTGTTTAGATTCTCAAATTGTTGTAACATGGATGATGCAGATGATGTAGATCTCACCTCCCTCCTTTGTTTTCCCTGAACAGTATAAAAGAAGCCTGTATTGTTTTGAATTTGAACGTCGGTTCTGCACTACTCCTGAAAGAAGTCCTGCAGTCAGCTTCAGGGCAACTTCCTGCCACAGCAGCATTAAATGAAGTTGGAATATACAAACTGGCTCAACAAGATGTTGAGATTCTACTTAATTTGAGGACCAATTGGCCTAATACTGGAAAATAATGTCTTTCAGAAAAAGGTTTTTTTTTTTTTGCTTTTTAAGAATCCGCCAGTTTGATTTCTAGTTAAATGATGAATGATGAAATTCATTTATTATCTTGGACTTATAGTGTTACTAGAATGCCGACCATATTTCCGTAATCCTCTTGTTCCTAAGGGAACAAAAACAAAACGAAACAATGAAAAATTCTATTTTCAAATATAAATGTGGAGTATGTCTGTTGAATAAAAGAGCAGACATTTTATAACCAACTTTCAATTTCCTGTGCTAATCAAGGGAAATTCTGTAGATAATCAAACATAGTAAATTTTTTTAACTCACGTTAGAATTCATATTTATAATTGAGGCTCCTGTATCTAGTTTGGGAATTCACTGTATTTCCGTAAGAAAACTGGCAAGATACAGTGGCTCATACCTGTAATCCCAGCATATTGGGAGGCTAAGGTAGGAGGATTGCTTGAGTCAGTAGTGTGAAACCAGCCTGGGCAACATGTCAAGACCCTGATGCATGCCTGTAGTTCTAGCTACTTGGGAGGCTGAGGTGGGAGGATAGCTTGAGCCCAGGAAGTCAAGGCTACAGGGAGCTGTGATTTTGACTGCACTCCACCCTGGGTAAGTGAACAAGACCCTGTCTCTAAAAAAAAAAAAAAATTGGCCGGGTGCAGTGGCTCAAGCCTGTAATCCCAGCACTTTGGGAGGCTGAGGTGGGTGGATCACGAGGTCGAGAGATCGAGACCATCCTGGTCAATATGGTGAAACCCCGTCTCTACTAAAAATACAAAAAATTAGCTGGGCATGGTGGCTCGTGCCTGTAATCCCAGCTACTCAGGAGGCTGAGGCAGGAGAATTGCCTGAACCCAGGAGGCGGAGGTTGCAGTGAGCCGAGATCGGGCCATTGCACTCCAGCCTGGGTAACAAGAGCGAAACTCTGTCTCAAAAAAAAAAAAAAATTGTGAGATGGTGAATAAGGAGGATAGTTGTGGAAAATAAAAAATACTCCCAATTTAGGCCGGCCTTGGTGGCTCAAGCCTGTAATAGCACTTTGGGAGGCCGAGGTGGGTGGATCATGAGGTCAAGACATCGAGACCATCCTGGCCAACATGGTGAAACCCCATCTCTACTAAAAATACCAAAAAAAAAAAAAAAATTAACTGGGCGTGGTGGCGTGCACCTGTAGTCCCAGCTACTTGGGAGGCTGAGGCAGGAGGATTGCTTGAACCCTGGAGGTGGAGGTTGCAGTGAGCCAAGATCACACCACTGTACTCCAGCCTGGTGACAGAGCGAGACTGTCTCAAAAACAAAAACAAAAACTTTTATTATTTATGTAATGGATGAGACAAATCTCAAAAGTTTTTCTCTTGTAACTTTTTCTTGACCTTGGGTGCTGTATTCATTAATAGTTTCTTGATTAATCCCAGAGTAAAAAAATCTTAAAAAATTGAGCTAGATTCCCTGGAAACTTTCTATAACTATTAAATTTTATTCCATTCATTTTTCTCTGACTTTATTTAGCACTGGATTAGTACTTTTAATCCTATAATATCTAAAATTATCAGACTAGCATGCACCCTATGGTATTGACAAACATTTACTTTGCAATAAACAATTTTAAGGAAATATTTTGAGATAAATTCTATTAGTATATATTTTAAATAGAGTTTCTAGCTAGTGTGTTGAGATCAAAGCATTTGTTAGTAGTCCTAGCATATTAATGCTTCTTCACCTCATCCTTTGAGAATTGCTGGGGCTTCCTACTAAGAAAAGAATGGAGCAGGCTGGGATCGGAAGGTCATGCCTGTAATCCCAGCACTTTGGGACTTCACCGCAGGTGGATCACCAGAGGTCAGGAGTTCGAGACCAGCTTAGCCAACATGGTGAAACCCTGTCTCTACTAAAAATGCAAAAACTAGCTGGGCATAGTGGTGGGCATCTGTAATCGCAACTACTTGCGAAGCTAAAATAGAAGAATCACTTGAATCCAGGAGGTGGAGGTTGCAGTGAGCCAAGATCACACCACTGCACTCCAGCTGGGGCAACAGAGCAAGACTCTGTCTCAAAACAAAAAACAAAAAAGAATGGAGCTGCCTCTGGAACTTACTGTTCCAGAGCTTAGAGACTTTACTGTTAGCCTTCCCTCTCCTCACTTTTCAGTCAGCTGAAAATTTCAAGGGAACAAAATATTTCTTTCTTTTTTTTTTTTTTTTTTTTTTTTGAGACGGAGTTTTGCTCGTTTCCCAGGCTGGATTGCAATGGCGCGATCTCAGCTCACCGCAACCTCCGCCTCCTGGGTTCAGGTAATTCTCCTGCCTCAGCCTCCTGAGTAGCTGGGATTACAGGCACGCACCACCATGCCCAGCTGATTTTTTGTATTTTTAGTAGAGACGGGGTTTCACCATGTTGACCAGGATGGTCTCGATCTCTCGACCTCGTGATCCACCCGCCTCGGCCTCCCAAAGTGCTGGGATTACAGGCTTGAGCCACCGCGCCCGGCCCAAAATATTTCTTTCAAAAGATAGGAACCTATTTCAAAAGGTATTGTATTTCAAAATCATGCCACCTTATTAAAATAGTTGTCGTTTAACAATAAACATACACTTCATCCTTGAATTGATCCAAAGTGATTCTGTGTCCATCATCTTCTAAATCTTCATCTTCAGTGCACAGACCAAGGGTTTTTAGGGCTGTAAAATAATGAGAAGAAATGAAAATTTACAACGTGAGAATGATTCTCTGCTAGAAAAAATTGTGGAATGGCCACAAACTATTACCTCAATTTGTAGAAAGTACTGACCTTCTTTATACTGCACAAATGATATGGTGCCTCTGTTGGAGGAGTCCATCATCTCAAACATAGATACAATGTTAGAGTTATCCATAAAGAAAGGGAATGCCACGCCTGTTACTTTTGCAATTCTCAGACGTTCCAATAGAGATATTAAATATTCCCTTGGTTTTTCTGCAAAAGAATAGTTCCAGCTCTTTCTGATATGAAATTAAAATATGTTGCAAATAGAAGTAGTCATTTAATTATTAAACAGCTGTAGCAGGGGCACTGTACTAGGCACTGGGGACACAGGACTTTTCATAAAACAGTTCATCAAGAAGGTAAGACATCGAACACTTAAATAGTTACAAATGTGCTGTCTCTGATGATTGAATAGAAAACTACAGAAATTGGACCTGGGCATTTTTTAGAAAAACTCCCCAAGTGACTATAAATTGTAGATGGGGTTAAAAACCAGAGAGATAGAGGGAATAGCATAATGCAGGAAAGAAGTTGGCCACCTAAAGAGCAGAGAAAATATAAATAGGCCAGGCATGGTGGCTCAACGCCTATAATCCCAGCACTTAGGGAGGCTAAGGCGGCGGATCACCAGAGGTTGTGAGTTTGAGACCAGCCTGACCAACATGGAGAAACCCCATCACTACTACAATTACAAAATTAACTGGTGTGGTGGCGCATGTCTGTAATCCCGGCTACTTGGGAGGCTGAGACGGGAGAACTGCTTGAGCCCAAGAGGTGGAGGTTGCCCCGAGCAGAGATCGTGCCATTGCACTGCAGCCTGGGCGACAGAGTGAGACTCCATCTCAAAAAAAATACATATGCATACATACATACAACATATGTATATTCTTTTTGAGAGAGAGATATATATACATACAGAGACTTGGAATAAATATGGTCTTCTAGGAAGCGTATGTAATAATTTCTGACATAAAAGCAGTATTTTGGATAAATACGCTGTAGTTTAAGCAATTTTAAAAATGAAAAATCAAGATCAACCCACTTTTCAGAAATAATTCAGGACAATTATGATGAAAAGTAGCCATAAGGAGTAGAGATAGAGCAGTTTGGATGCTACCTATCTCTTGCTGCTTGATCATTTTATCATTTCAATCTTAAGCTTCACTCATACATATATATATATATATATACACATACATACATACATACACATTTGGTTTTTTTTTTTTTTTTTTTTTTTTGAGACAGAGTTTTGCTCTTGTTACCCAGGCTGGAGTGCAATGGCGCGATCTCGGCTCACCGCAACCTCCACGTCCTGGGTTCAGGCAATTCTCCTGCCTCAGCCTCCTGAGTAGCTGGGATTACAGGCACGCGCCACTATGCCCAGCTAATTTTTGTATTTTTAGTAGAGAGGGTTTCACCATGTTGACCAGGATGGTCTCGATCTCTTGATCTCGTGATCCACCCACCTCTGCCTCCCAAAGTGCTGGGATTACAGGCGTGAGCCACTGCGCCCGGCTTCACTCATATATTTTTAAAGTTAAACAGCGACAGGATCTTGCTGTGTTGCCCAGCTGAGCAGCAGCTGGGAGGCTGAGGCAGGAGAACTGCCTGAACCCAGGAGGTGGAGGTTCCGGTGAGCCGAGATTGCGCCACTGCACTCCAGCCTGGGTAACAAGAGCAAAACTCCATCTCAAAAAAAAAAATTTGTTACATCATTACTGAGAATTTAATGTTAATAAAAGTAGACAGAAGGCTGAGCGCGGTGGCTCATGGCTGTAATCCCAGCTACTCGGAAGGCTGAGGCAGGAGAATTGGTTGAACCCAGGAGGCGGAGGTTGTGGTGAGCTGAGATCACGCCATTGCACTCCAGCGTGGGTAACAAGAGTGAAACTCTGTCTCAAAAAAAAAAAAAAAAAAAAGTACACAGAAAAGTATAATGAACCCATCACCAACTTCAACTGTTAAAATTTGTGGCCAATCTTATTTCACTCTAATCCTATCCACATCAGTTTATGAGGAACAAAATTAATCTTGTTTGTGCCTAATTGAAGAGGATTGACAATTAACAGGACAAACAACAGCCTAAACCATAGACATCTTGGTTCATTTTACACAATTCTGACTGAAACGGTCAAGCACTTTTCATTCAATCAGTGCCAAAACCATTGTACCAGATAAGCTGCAGACAAAAGCACAGCTTTCAATGGAAACTTTAAAACAAGTAGCATCAAGATCCTGAAGCATTTCTTCAAAGAAATGAGATGAAAAAGTTCTACAGTATGATCCTGAAGAGAAACTCTTATCAAAGGAGTGGGTACCAAGAGGTGACGTGGTCCAGTCCAAGCACAAGTGGACTGGTCAAGAGCACATGTCATGGCAATAGTTTTTTGGGGATGCTCAAGGTATTTTGCTTGTTGATATTTTTGGGGTCCCAAACAATAACATCTGCTTATTATGAGAATGTTTTGAGAAAGTTAGACAAAGCTTTAAAGAAAAGCCCAGGAAAGAAACTGCCTTTAGTAGCCTATTTATTGCTGGAAACTGCTTATATAAGTAAGGTACAATACTAGATTTAAAAGTCTACTTCTGGTTTCAACACATAAATTCCCAGGGATGAAGATGGAGTGCAAACCTATAAATTAAAAGATTTTAAAACATAACCTGAGTGAAGAGAAAACCTATGGAATGGGAGAATATATTTGTAAACTATGTATCTGATAAGGGGTTAATATCCAAAACTTGTAAGAACTCAATAGTAAGAAAATAACCAATTTTTGTTTAACAGGCAAAGGACCTAAATAGACATTTTTCTTTTTCTTTTTTTTTTTTTTTTTTTGAGATGGAGTTTCGCTCTTGTTACCAGGCTGGAGTGCAATGGCGCGATCTCGGCTCACTGCAACCTCCGCCTCCCGGGTTCAGGCAATTCTCCTGCCTCAGCCTCCTGAGTAGCTGGGATTACAGGCACGTGCCACCACGCCCAGCTAATTTTTAGTATTTTTAGTAGAGACGGGGTTTCACCATGTTGACCAGGATGGTCTCGATCTCTTGACCTAGTGATCCACCCGCCTCGGCCTCCCAAAGTGCTGGGATTACAGGCGTGAGCCACCGCGCCCGGCCTACATTTTTCTATAGAAGATAAAGAAGTTACCAACAGGTATATGAAAAAGTGCTCAACATCACTAATCATCAGGGGAATGGAAATTAAAACCCCAACGAGCTATCACCTCACACCTGTTAGAAAGGTTATTATCAAGAAAGATAGCTAAGCACTATGGCATATGCCTGTGGTCCCAGCTACTCAGGAAGCTGAGGCAGGATAATCACTTGGGTCCAGGAGTTCAAGACCAGCCTGAGCAACATAATGAGACCCCATCTCTAAAACACTAACAAAAGATGAAAGATACCAAGTGTTGGCAAAAATGTAGAGAAAAAGGAACCTTTGTACACTACTGGTGGGATTGTGAATTAGTACAACCATTATGGAAAACAACATGGTGGTTCCTCAGGAAATTAAACATAGAACTTACCTCACAGTCATGGCAGAAGGCAAGGAGGAGCAAGTCACATCTCACATGGATGGCAGCAGGCAAAGAGAGAGCTTGTGCAGGGGAACTCCCATTTTTAAAAACATCAGCTCAGGCCAGGTGCAGTGGCTCACACCTGTAATCCCAGCACTTTGGGAGGCTAAGGAGGGTGGACCACCTGAGGTCAGGAGTTCGAGACCAGGCTGACCAACATGGTGAAACCCTGTCTCTACTTTAAAAAAAAAAAAGCCGGGCGTGGTGGCTCAAGCCTGTAATCCCAGCACTTTGGGAGGCCGAGGTGGGTGGATCACGAGGTCAAGAGATCGAGACCATCCTGGTCAACATGGTGAAACCCCGTCTCTACTAAAAATACAAAAAAAATTAGCTGGGCATGGTGGCACATGCCTGTAATCCCAGCTACTCAGGAGGCTGAGGCAGGAGAATTGCCTGAACCCAGGAGGCGGAGGTTGCGGTGAGCTGAGATCGCGCCATTGCACTCCAGCCTGGGTAACGAGCGAAACTCCGTCTCAAAAAAAAAAAAAAAAAAAAAAATAAGATTCTTCTGCCTCAACCTCCCAAGTAGTTGGGATTACAGGTGTCTGCCACCATGTCCAGCTAATTTTTTTAACAGCTAGCAATTACATTTCCCAATATACCCTAACTGAGGCCAGGTTTTCCTACCAAATTATTTCAGATCAGGTCAGGTCTTGCTGTTAAATGATGTATGAAACTGTTGGTTTTCAGAGCTCCCAAAATTTTGAAATTGAGAATGGAGGATTGCGTACCTGTTTCCTCAATAGTAATTGGCCAATCAAGCTGTATAGTCTTATTTTCTGCAACTCTAAAATTCCAAGGTTTTCAAACTGGGACAAATGTCATAATACCAGGGCCTTCAAAAGACACAAGGTAAGGCTAGCATGTCTTCCTAAGCATCAATCATACCTTGGTGAGTAATATAAAACATTTATATTAAGAAATGGGTATATCTACAGAATAACAGATCTCATGAATTTTTAGGACAAAACAAATGACTTCAAAGAAACTTATGCCACCTCAGGCTAAGGTCTCCAACACTAAAAGGACAAGTCCACTCTCCTCTGCCATTGCTCTCCACTGTATATGTACTCTGCATGCCAGCCAACCCCTTCTTTAGCTTCATTACCTTCTTACTGTAGCTCAGTGTTTCTGAACCTACAGTTTCCTCTCCCCAACTTTAGTGTTTATAAAGATGTTTTAAGGAATTTACATTATTAAAGATGGTACCCTGCCAGGCGCAGTGGCTTATACCTGTGATCCAAGCATTTTGGGGGGTCAAGGAGGATTGAGGTCAGGAGTTCCAGACCGGCCTGGCCAATATGGCAAAACCCCTGTCTCTGCTAAAAATAAAAAAATTAGCCCAGCGTGATGCTTTGCACCTGTAATCCCAGCTACTCTGGAGGCTGAGGCATGAGAATCGCCTGAACCCTGGAAATGGAGGTTGCAGTGTGATGAGATGTGCCACTGCACTCCAGCCTGGGCAACAGAGCAAGAGTCCATTTAAAAAAAAAAAAAAAAAAAAAAAAAAAAGGGTGGGACCCGTTTTAGAAAACTGATATTATTTATGTGATAGGTATATAATTAATGTGAGTATTCCCAGACTTCCCTTCCACTAAAGAGAGTTTTGTCTTGATCTGGTTAGATTCT